ACTCTCTCTCTCTCTCTGATTCCATAATCATGGCACAACCACATGAGAGGCCTCCTTTACACATTGCCACATAAAAACCAACAGTACCTGAGTCTCCATTGATAATCTTAAAGCACGGGCATGCTGGTGTCCTTCAGATACAAAAAAACAGGATTCTGTGGCAAGTGTTTGGACCATTGGCTATTCTGGACTTTTACTCTTATTTGAGTCTAGATGGGCGGGGTATAAATCTGATAAAATAAAATAAATTATTACTGCATTTGAGAGTCAGGATGGTATAGAAGTCCAAGAGGGTTGGACTGGGATTGGAGAGATGCTGGTTCTAGTCCTCACTCAGCAAAGAAACTCATATGGTGACCTTGGGCCAGTCACTCTCCTTTTGTTGGATGTACCTCAGGGGATTTTATGAGGAAAAAAGTGAGAAGGGGAGCCTTGCCTTTAACTCACTGGAGGAAATGTGGGATTATTTGAACATTTATTCTCTGTATGCTCAGGTGTATTTTGCCTGTCACACTAATCTCATCCTCTCATGTGTTCCTGGCTGCCTTGGCTACCACTGGCTCAGTTGCTCTCACGGCACAACCTCAGGGAAAATGCACAAAAAAGAATAATGTAGGCTTTATAACCAGTTTTATAAACTAATTCTTTAGGAGCAATGAGAAATGCTTTGATTCTGAGAGTGAAAAACTGTGCCAGCCTCTACTACAAATATTTATTTTGTGCCATTGGCTTTTCAGTACGACGTTGTTGATAAAAATCTAAAGGGCATTTTCAGAAGATTCTGAGGAAGACACAAATATAGAAGAAACTGGTATGTTAAAATACTGTATTGAAATTATTATCAGCTTGTTTATTTTCAAAAGGGAGTCCAAGGAAACCCAAACACTTAATTGTGTGTGTGTGGTTTTTTTGTTTTGTTTTGTTGTGGGTTTCTGATTTCCTAAAAAATCTCCTTAAACTAAACAGGATTATTTTTTCAAGGTAGAATATTTGCTTAAAATGATATCTACAGAGCTAAAACCCCTCAGATGTTGTGGAAATAGATATAAACAATAACAAAACTTTTATGTAGCAAAACTATTATCCATTTTAATGGAAGGTGGTCTTTATTTACGAACAGGGGGTTGCATATAATATTTTCCTTTGATTTGTAATCTCCCTATAAGATTTCCTTTATAAAAATCAAATTTGTATACTTAATGTCTCTTCTCATTATAAACCTAAACCATAGTACTCACATGCAGGTCAATTGATTCTTATCTGGAATATCTTTTATGTGGCCGTTAGACTGTTAACTTATAATATTAATGACGTCTTTTACTGCAGTGGCTAAATTTATAGATTTCTTCTTAGGCGGTTTCATTACTTGCTTTAACAGTTTATGATGGAAAATTCAGTGTTAGAAAAATCAAAACTGCTGGGTTGGAAAGCAGTGGTGGGAGCAGAGGCAATTTTCAACGTACAAAGAAAGGAAGGGTTAAGTAGTCCCTTCCTTTTACATCCGTTGCTCTCGACTGCAACTGCTAAGGTTGCTTTTTTATTTTTATTTTTTTAAAAAAACTTTTGGAAGAAAATCCACACAGTTGAATTTTAGGTATAATTGAGCTTCAGGAGATGACATTCTTACATCTTTAAGGCAAAATGCTGGCACACCTTGCAAACAATTGAAATATGAATTAGCTGGTTTCCCATCATATGTTAAAAGAAAAGGTTAAAAGAAAAGTGGGGGCTACTGAGATGAGCTGAAGCTGAAGCTGTAGGTGAGTGTTCTTTAAGTTGTGAATAAAAGCACACAGCATGGATAGGTCTTCAACAGAAGCTCTACCAGAGAACGAAAATGAAAGCTGTGAGCCAAGTTCAGCTGGAATCTGTTCCCTTAGAAGTGCAGCCCACAGACGACATGTATCCTCTGGGCCTAAATGCATCTCATGCTGTCTTTGCAACCACCAACTTCCTCACAGCTGAAGATGGTTTTAAATTTTTCCTTAAATAATTCAGCTCAAAATGTCCCTTCTGTGTGTGGAAGTGGAAGGTAATTTTGCCACCCCAGTACCCCTGCCTCCTTGTACTCCCCCTAGTATTTTTCTAATTCTTAAAAATACATTTTTCTGGCCACTAGAGGGCATGAGTGGACTTTTCTTTTAAATGACAAGAATAAGACATATTTGGGGAGTGAATAGCAGCTGCAGCATCCTCAGTTCAGTATGTGTGGCCTTTGGCTCCTGGCAGTTGCCCACTTCAGCCTCAGAAACAATTTCTCCAAGGGACTCTGTCATCCTTTACTTCAGTTCCATTGATCATGGTCTTTCTTATTTTACATATTATTTTAAACAAACAAACAAAAAATCAACCAATAATCAACTATTCAATTTCCTCCCAATGCTAACAAAGTTTGCTAAAATTAACCAAGGTGGACCATTTAACTTTGTTAGGCTATGGAGTTCGTAAGATACCTTTGTCTTGTGAAAGAAGTTTCTGAGTATGGGTATCTCTGTATGGGTATCTCTTAGTTTGTGTATACCCTTCTTTTATTTCTGACTTCTCTTCTAGGAAAACCTTGTTTTCCTCCTCTCTTTGATCATATTTGTCTCCTTAGAGGCAGTTTTCTCTAGGGGATCTACTGTAAAATTCAGTTCATGCAATCATAACAAGTATATGCAGCATCTTCCTAGCTTGGTTCAACACGATGTTTCTTTCCCCTGCCTTGCCCTGTCCTTTTGCCAATCTCCATCCTTTATGTTCCTTGGCTATTTTTGTTTGCACAATTCATGCACTGTCAAATTGTTGTGTTTCCATAAAGTGCCCGTCTTGACTGTTGCTCATCAGCAATTGAGCACATTCATTTTTTGTGTATACCCTTCTTTTACTGCTGACTTCTCTTCTAGGAAAACCTTGTTTTCCTCCTCTCTTTGATCATATTTGTCTCCTTAGAGGCAGTTTTCTCTAGGGGATCTACTGTAAAATTCAGTTCATGCAATCATAACAAGTATATGCAGCATCTTCCTAGCTTGGTTCAACACGATGTTTCTTTCCCCTGCCTTGCCCTGTCCTTTTGCCAATCTCCATCCTTTATGTTCCTTGGCTATTTTTGTTTGCACAATTCATGCACTGTCAAATTGTTGTGTTTCCATAAAGTGCCTGTCTTGACTGTTGCTCATCAGCACTTGAGCACATTCATTTTTTACCTCTTGCTTCTAGACTTGGTGAACATGGCTTTGCTTTGTTTTGTTATTTTACTTTATTTTACCCTATTCCTTAATGTCAAATGTATAAATACTGTAGGTCTGATATAAACATGAGGATTGATCTAGTGATTGGAGGTCCAGATTTCAGGGGGTTGTACTCCTGGTATTCCTATGTTTCTCTTACAAACTGAACAGGTGGCCAGCAGAGCCCCTTTTTCTCTTGGTGTGCATTTTTACATACATAGTGGGTACAACAAAATTACTGATCTGTTTGAAATCTGGTGCTGGAGGAGCTTTTTGTGTATATCCAGATTGCCAGAAAGACAAACAACTGGGCCCAAGATCAAATCAAGTCTCCAGTAAAATCTGGAGGAAAAAAATGTTGAAACTGAGGCTGTCCTACTTTGGGCACATCATGAGAAGGCAGGATTCTCTGGAAAAGACAATAATGCTGGGAAAGGTGGAAGGCAGCAGGAAAAGAGGAAGACCAAATATGAGCTGAGCTGCCTCCCTAGAAGAAGCCACAGGCTTGAGTCTACAAGAACTGAGCAGTGCTGTTGAGGACAGGACATTTTGGAAATCGCTCATCTACAAGGTCGCCATAAGCTGGAGGCGACTTGACAGAACAACAACAAAGTGGGTACATGTGAAACAAAGCAGTGACAAAGGATGTAGGCACCACCCATCCCTTTCTTTCGCATGGAACTCCTCTTACACCCTGATGTAGTAAATATTACTTAAGAAAATGAAAATTGTGTGTGCCTTTTATTTTAGGATGTAAAGAACATTCACTGAATTCCTAGATCATGTTGATTTAGGCTGCCTTCACATGATGAGAAACCTTGATGGGGAATCTTGAAGCCCAAAATATCCCTCACCTCCAGGTGACAGCAAGACAAAGAGCTCTTTCATCCCCCCCCCCGTAATTTACATAAAATTTCTCTAGTGTCCTTCCTTTCCCTTTGACAAGGAAGCAAAGAATGGCTGTCTGATTATTAAGAATGAGGCAAACAACCTGCCCAAGTTCTTCAGATTCTTGAATAAAGCAGCAGTCCATTTACATTTGGGGCTGTTTGCAAAACAGTGCAAATTACACAGCGTTGTGCGAAATGAGCAATTTTGTGTAAAGTTTTGCATTTTTGACACAAAACATTGATTCCGCTAATGTGCGTCAAGAAATTGCCATCCTCGCTGATACATAGGAGAATGACAAAATTCCTTGTACTTACATTTGAGGACGAGACAAGTGAGAATTTATATTATTGCTTCTGCATCAGTCTATGATTTACTTGGTAATGGGGCTGTCACCCTAGTACAAATTAAAGTAAGTAAAGTAAGATGGGGTGGGGCTGCGGGTTAAACCACTGAAGTCTCTGTGCTGCAAGGTCAGAAAACCTGCAGTCGTAAGATCAAATCCACGCGACAGAGTGAGCTCCCGTCGCTTGTCCCAGCTCCCGCCAACCTAGCGGTTCGAAACCGTGCAAAATGCGGGTAGATAAATAGGTACCACTATGGTGGGAAGGTAACAGCATTCCGTCACGCTGGCCACATGACCATGGAAGATTGTCTTTTGACAAACACTGGCTCTATGGGTTGGAAACGGAGATGAGGACCACACTCTAGAGTCGGACACGACTGGACAAATTGTCAAGGGGAACCTTTATCTTTACCTAAGTGCATAACTAGGGGAGGGAGACATGCTAGTGACTGGTGTTAAGAGAGCCTATTTTTTCCCAACAATACTGATGCTGATGCTTGGCCTGCTGATAGGACTAATGATCACTGATGTCATAATGAAATACTTGCTCTACAAAGCAAAGGGAAACAAGCACCCTATTAAGGTGTTACAAAGCCATTTGAGAGAAACATGCAATGCCAGTTTTGTCACTCACTATATGTAAGAGGTGACAAGTCAGAAGGCAACAGCCTCTAGTACCATTAAGGAGCTGTACATGTGAATTAGAGAATCCAGGCTTCTAACTTCTGTGGAGAAGTCACATGACATAATACCCTCCACATTCGCTTCCTCTCTTGTTTGCCCTACATGCTTTTGCAAAATCTAGGGAATGGGGTATTTGTGAGATTCTCTTTCAGGTGAAATTTCCAAGTATTGTCATAACTTTCCTTTCCATTTTGACTTTCAGATGGTGCTTCATCTACCCATGGTGGTACTGTAGAATAGTTCAAAAGAACATCAGAGAAAGAGAGAGAGTCTCAGAAGTGACTTTTTAAAAAATAAGGTAAAATCTTAGGTTGTGTCAATAAGAGAAGCAATAGCCTTGAGTTTGTAAGTCCTAGCAGGGCTGTTAATGATAAGATGTTTGGAGATAGTTAATTCATGGAGTCAGCCATGAGTTGAAAGTGACTTGATGACATACAGTAATAAGAAGGGTTAAATGTAATGGTATGATATTTATTGTATTCATTAGCTCCACATATTGAAATGAGTAGAACATGTTAGTCATCAATAATGTAAACTCAACTAATTTCAATATGTCTACTCTTGTTGGGGCTAGTATTAAATTTAGACCCAAGTATAGAATATATTGGGACGTGGTGGCGCTGCGGGCTAAACCGCAGAAGCCTGTGCTGCAGGGTCAGAAGACCAAGCAGTCGTAAGATCGTGGTGGCGCTGTGGGCTAAATTGCAGAAGCCTGTGCTGCAGGGTCAGAAGACCAAGCAGTCGTAAGATCAAATCCACGTGACGGAGTGAGCGCCCATCGCTTGTCCCAGCTCCCACCAACCTAGCGGTTCGAAAGCATCCAAATGCAAGTAGATAAATAGGGACCACCTCAGTGGGAAGGTAACAGCGTTCCGTGTCTAAGTCACACTGGCCATGTGACCACGGAAGATTGTCTTCGGACAAAACACTGGCTCTATGGCTTGGAAACGGGGATGAGCACCGCCCCCTAGAGTCGAACATGACTGAACAAAAATTGTCAAGGGGAACCTTTACCTTTTTATAGAATATATTCTCCTGCCAACCTAGCAGTTCGAAAGCATGTAAAAATGTGAGTAGATATATAGGTACCACCTTGGTGGGAAGGTAACAGCCATAGTATCTTCGGACAAATGCTGGCTCTATGGCTTGGAAACGGGGATGAGCACCGTGCCCTAGAGTCGGACATGACTGGACTAAATGTCAAGGGGAACCTTTACCTTTACCTTATACTTGTAGAATATATTATTTAGTTCCTTTGAAAACAGAATTCTCCAAGCAAAGAAACAGGCCACTGAAGTTTTTATATATGGAGCAAACATAAAAATGATGGGCTTGCAGTCTAGCTGGAAAAAAAGCAACAAGTCAAATTAACCATGATTTGATGTATGCATGAATATTCAGTTGTGTCTCAGAGGAGCACTATGAAATAAACGTAATGGAAAGAAAAATGTTTTTCAGAAACCTATTGCTGATAATTAGTAAATTGTTACTAACGTCAATAAAGTATGATTACGATCATGCAAATCCCTCATACCCTGCACAAGTGATTCTTGACTACTAAACATTCCATATTTTTATGTGGGGTTGAATGGGATAAAACCTAACACATCATATTTATGTTACCCAGTTCATCTGCTTTGCTGCTGTGGATAGGAAGAGTCAGTGGTGTCCAGCTGCACCTGACTTGTTGAAGAGTGAGAGCTGGCTCCTTATGCAAGAAATTCTGGGGCAAATTAAAATTCAAGTTCCACATGTGTTATTTCTTATCAGAAGAGCTCTAATGGTAAAAGTCTGTTGGGCTGTGTGTGTGCTACATTTATGTGATTCCCTGCACTATGCCCAATTGACAGCACCTGTCATAAATGTCATTGAAGATCTTTGTAGCTAACTCCCACTCACGATTGTGAGATGCCTTCTCCCTGCCACATGCATGGCCATTGGGAATATGTGATGGAGGAAGCACCATTCTCAAGATTCAATGGCTATGAGCAGGAGAGACATGGAATGAGCCCTGCTCTGTTTGTGAGATATGGCACTAGTAAGATAATGGTGTTCTATGTGGTGGGAATGAATGGGAAGGGATCTCAGTTGGTGGGTAGTCAAATATGGTGTTTGGTCTTTTTGTCTTGATATTTGGAGCTGGTTGTTTGTATTTTTGGCATTGGGATTGCTCCCTATAGTACTGTGAAGCAGACGATAGAGGAGTTCTTTGGGAACTTTGATGATAAGTATGGGTAGGATCATTTCCAGTATTGCTGGTATGTCTCTATTGGTATGGTGTATAGAAGCACATTCTTTTAGCAATATTTCTCTTTTTGTGTAAGTTCTCCATTATGTCATCAGTTTTTGTTTGTTTGTTTGTTTGTTTGTTTGTTTGTTTGTTTGTTTGTTTGTTTGTTGAATAGGCCTTCTCCACAAAGGGAAGGTTCTATATCTTAGTCTTTGAGTCCTCTGATAAACCAGGCAACCAAAGCCAAGCAAATAATCTCAGGACCACTGCTACTGACATGTTCTTCGTAGTCTATTGTATGTTGAACAGATACCATTTGCTAGGTGGTGAGAGACATGGCCTCTTGTTGATAGAGTTGGGTTAGAACTTTCTTGTCATCCGGCAGGCTGTTAATGAGTGCTGGATCTTCTCCCTGGAGAACCTCTGCTAAGTTCCATAGTGTCCTGGTAGTTGGCTATGCATGTGTCTAGAGCTACAGTGGCATACATCTTCCTTCCCAATGCATCAATTTTACAGCCATCTTCATTACAGGGGGTAGCATTATGGCATATCTTATTCTTGTTTGGGATGCTTCCATAGTTAGGGAATTAGGTTTGAGGTATTTAAGGAGGAAGGAGGCCTCCCTATCATGAATTTTGTACAAGTTCTGCACTCGCTGATAAGTGGGATGTGGTGAGGATGTTTCATTCCAAGGGTGTTTGACTAGGTCAAGCAAGGATGGTGGCATGGCAATGTGGACTGAAATAGCAATATCCTTAGTAATTTGGTCATAAAGTGGTCCAACCTATACAGAGGTGGTCTCTGGCCCTCTAACAACCTGGTCATCCTAAACATTAAGTCTAATTAGCAGCAAAAGTCCTCGAATAGAGAAGGAGGGTTGATATGTCCCACATCAGACTCAGGAGTGGTAACTTAAACGGATGAAGAGTCTTGTAAATCAGCATCTGAGTCCAAGCTGGTGGAACTAGAATCGGGGACCCCCCCCCCCCCCCAATTCTGCGTTGCCTGTCTCTAGCAAGCATGTCATTGCTAGAACCACTCTGGCAGCCACCTCTGCAAGCTAGCAAAAATTTGATGCAAATTGCTAAGCACGTCGGACACCTTACTACTCCCTATACCACACCATGGCTGGAGTGCAATGTGTTCCAGCAAAAATAGTGCACATCTTTATCAAATTTGGTGCATCCTGCTAGTTCGGTACACAGCCTGTGTAGATTCAATAATATTTTTAAATCAAATAATGTATGATTTCCTTCCTTTCGAATCAAGGGGGTAATGTCGGTGTATATAAATTTTTTGGGGGGTAAAAGGTAAAAAAGTTCCCTAACCCCTGCGCTAGTAAGATAATGGTGTTCTATGTGGTGGGAATGAATGGGAAGGGATCTCAGTCGGTGGGTAGTCAAACATGGTGTTTGGTCTTTTTGTCTTGACATTTGGAGCTGGTTGTTTGTATTTTTGACATTGGGATCGCTGCCTATAGTACTGTGAAGCAGATGATAGAGGAGTTCTTTGGGAACTTTGATGATAAGTATGGGTAGGATCATTTCCAGTATTGCTGGTATGTCTCTATTGGTATGGTGTATAGAAGCACATTCTTTTAGCAATATTTCTCTTTTTGTGTATGTTCTCCATTATGTCATCAGTTTTTGTTTGTTTGTTTGTTTGTTGAACAGGCCTTCTCCACAAAGGGAAGGTTCTATATCTTAGTCTTTGAGTCCTCTGATAAACCAGGCAACCAAAGCCAAGCAAATCATCTCAGGACCACTGCTACTGACATGTTCTTCGTATCATAGTCTATTGTATGTTGAACAGATATCATTTGCTAGGTGGTGAGAGACATGGCCTCTTGTTGATAGAGTTGGGTTAGAACTTTCTTGTCATCCGGCAGGCTGTTAATGAGTGCTGGATCTTCTCCCTGGAGAACCTCTGCTAAGTTCCATAGTGTCCTGGTAGTTGGCTATGCATGTGTCTAGAGCTACAGTGGCATACATCTTCCTTCCCAATGCATCAATTTTACAGCCATCTTCATTACAGGGGGTAGCATTATGGCATATCTTATTCTTGTTTGGGATGCTTCCATAGTTAGGGAATTAGGTTTGAGGTGTTTAAGAAGGAAGGAGGCCTCCCTATCATGAATTTTGTACAAGTTCTGCACTCGCTGATAAGTGGGATGTGGTGAGGATGTTTCATTCCAAGGGTGTTTGACTAGGTCAAGCAAGGATGGTGGCATGGCAATGTGGACTGAAATAGCAATATCCTTAGTAATTTGGTCATAAAGTGGTCCAACCTATACAGAGGTGGTCTCTGGCCCTCTAACAACCTGGTCATCCTAAACATTAAGTCTAATTAGCAGCAAAAGTCCTCGAATAGAGAAGGAGGGTTGATATGTCCCACATCAGACTCAGGAGTGGTAACTCAAATGGATGAAGAGTTTTCTTGTAAATCAGCATCTGAGTTCAAGCTGGTGGAACTACAATCCTCAGTAATGATATGTACATACCTTGCAGGTGGCTTCAAAGTTCTTGGATGTTTCTTGGTTCTGGTAGATGTTTGGTAGGCGTATCTTTTGAAACTGAGGTTTCATTTCTTCACCCATCCAACATCTTGTGTGTGCCCTTGCAGCCACATTACAACAATTTATAGTGAAGTTGCAGTATCTTTCATTTGGTGTTTTCTGATGTGCTTTGCTGCTGTTGGGATGTTCTCTTAGATGAGAGATGACTTTTGGTAGTGCCTCCGTGATTTTCTGTCCTCATTAATGAATCATGATTTTCAGGCACTTTAGAGTTCCCAGATTCTGATTCTGAAGATCGATCCTGGGAGCATGGAATCTGGTTTTCTGAGGCTTCTTCAATGCTGAAACCAAGGACTGGGCTCATAAGTCTGTCCTTTGGAAAAAGCTAAAATAGGAATTGAACACTTCTGTCTTTTCTTTGTCATCTGTTATCATTTGTCCATCTGCATTGAGTAGCTAAGTCACTGTTTCTTTTCTTTGTCTTTTGCTATGCACATATCTGAATAATGCTTTTTTGTTGCTTTTAGTGTATCTAGCTAGCCTCAGCTCATTC